AAATACACGGGGTTTGTTTTGAAATCACGAGAAAAGTATGAGTGTAGTAAGTAGTGTAGTAAAGAGGACTACGCGCGAGCCGTCAAGCTCCTGGCACACGCATATCCGCGCTAGAGTATTCCAGAATCCCCACTTTTTCGACATCTGGGCGCCCCTCGACCGATCGCTGTAAAAAGCGTGGAAAATAAATAGAAAATTGACCGCGTGCGCGGAGCCCGACGACCCGCCAAGTCGCCACCTCGTGATCCCGATCAAATAATGGAGTGGATAAGCAATAGGAGGGGGGCCAGGGCTAAAATTAGCGGACTTCGCGGGGCGCCATTACAGAAATCACGGTCGTTGCAGAAGCAGTAGTAGTATCTAGAAGTATTTGGTGTGCTTGAGCTTTTTAAAGGGATTGAGAAGCGTGAGAATCGACTCCTTGCATTTACTGGGCCTAGACAGCTTCTTGACACTACAAAAAGAGCATGAAGGCCTCTTTGAAGTTGCTTAAAACCAGGTATATTTTGCTTTTTTGGCCTATGCCGCAGCTGTCTAGACCTAGTCGACGAGAGGGGTCGATTTGGGCGCTTCCTAATGCCTTTAAAAACAAAATCGGAGACAATTTTACCACTTTGCCAGGGCACATCCGTCTTGAAAGGGTACCATTGTCGATTGACTTGATATTTATCAAGTTTGTCAGGTTTATCTAGAAGTTCAGTGTCGTGGTATGGGCTCCCTCACTCTCCTTCTCTCTTTCTCTCTCGTGCTCTTTCTCTCTCTGTCTCTCTCTCTTTCTATCTCTCTCTCTCACCTGAAGCTGTGTCGCGAAGAAACAATCACTCTTATACGTGCCATAGTTGGTCCCCGGCGCCATGTTGTCGATAATTTTAACGCAGAACTAAAAAAAATTTCAAGTTGACTAAGTCGATTATCGTAGCCGGATTTTGTCATTTCTAATTGTTAATATTTCGGGTAAGCGATTTTCCTACTTCCATTCACCCCTTCAAGACGAAAACTCAAAAATCGCACCGCCCCGAACTTGGATGCGCTAAATAATGGATGGTGCGCGCGGGAGTGCCGAAGCAAATAGAGACTCTGCGGCAAAACATGCACAGAATTGAACTGACGCGATTTGGGGTGAATGATTTTTGGAGAAGACGATAATAGCAAGTAAGGTTAACCCACATCTTAATAAACCTTAATAAACCTCCGCAGCTGTAAGCTGCCGGAGACGTACCTGAGTACTCTGACATTGGTTATTCCTGATGTCGCACGTACTGGCGGTGGAGTAGCGTAGCGGATACAGCCCGTCCCAACCGTTGCATTGTTGGCAGAGAACGGCAAGGCTTTCTGAAGGGATTAGAGGTATAGGTAAGTTAATCACTACGCTTCAAAAAACCTGATTTGTTTGAGCCCCCACGTGCAGGTTGGCAATGCACCAGAAACTTACCGAAAACGCAACGTAAGTCGGAAAAGCTTCGTTTAGACCGTATTTTCACAGAAAATACCCAACGAAAGCTTTGTGGAATTATAACGCAAAGAGGTTTTTAATAGTCTTTGTAGAGCGATAGCTTAAATTTATATGCATTTGATGATGTTTAATGAAGTTTCGAGCCAAACTTCAGTATTTAAAGGAAAAGGGCTAGTTTTTCAAGCTTTTTTGTGAAAATTAAAAATGGTGTTTTAGATATTAGTATTGTTATTGCTGCTATTTATATAAAATTGAGGATTTTTATAGTACGAAAGTTCCTAATTCCAATCTAAGCTGACGCGATAATCGGTAAAAAGGCGTTTTTCTTAGTTTTGGTCTTTGTTAGTATGGCTTCAATTTACAGCCATTTGCGCTATTTTCGTAGCTTCAAACGTTCCAAATTTGATGCAATACACCTTAAAATCGATAACTGATCGATCTTGATGATAGCTTACATCATGATACCCTACCGACCTCGTATCGCCGTTCCGAACACCAGCAAAAAGAATAGTACAACGTTCGCCATTAGTCTGGAATTCGTGGGGTAGGAGGACAAAAGTGGGCGAGGCGACGCCGGACGGCCCGGAATCTGGGATGCTGCTAGGAGACGTCGGTTGTGAAAAGAATTGCGAACCCAAAAGGCATGCCGAAAACAGCGCAATGTCCACAAATACTAAGGAGAAAAACTCAAATTACGGTATTGAGGTGCTGAAGTGGAAGTAATTAGGGTACCGGGTAGTTGTGTAGTAGGTGCTTTGCTCTTAGCGAAGGGGCACTTCCTGTATGCATGCAGTAATACAAAAAATAGGCTACGTATTTTTTTAGTATCCTTGATAGTTTCTGATAGCCAAAAAGTTCCAAAAAACTTTTTCCGAAATTTCTGACCAAAGTTTAACATTTTTTCACTGTGTAGAATAATTTTTTGAAGTAAAAGAACTCTTAATGCTATTAAAATCTTTATTGTTTTTAGGACTCATTGAAAAAAGTAACTTTCTTCCCGCCCCCCGCTAACGCACCAGAACCGTCGTTAGCAGTGCCTGTGTAGTTTTGTATTTTTATTTCTTCGTTTTTATTCTGCATGATCGTGATATCCTTATCTTTAATTTATAGAAAACCCCAAAAAGTTTTTATTGTTTTTTTTGTTAGGCCTCAAGCGTCAAATACTTGATCGAAAACCCGGCACACAACACGGAGGCGAACAGCACGGCGGTTAGGATGAAGCCCCTAAAATTTTCTTGATGCATTTTTTCGAGTCTGTATTGACCTCAAATATTCCACTGGCGATGATAGGTGTCCATAGGTCAGTCGTGTACTTGCGATCAAAAAGACGCCCACAGAAACCGGAAGCAGGGCTTTTCCCTCCTCCAAAACGAGTCCGATGGTTCCGTCGAGTTTATGGAAGGTGTAGGCTGAAATGTGGAGATTTTTTTGATAGTTTCTTTACTTTTAAAGTGACTTTAACTTTAGCATACCTCTAAAGTTATTAGCATTACCAGAAAACCGTTTTAAATTGTTTAACTTTCTTAAAACTACAAAACATACCCAAAAATAGCATGAAAAGCCCGCCGCCAATCACCGAAATTGACGAGAGCAATTTCCAAATGTAGGAATTCGGGAACGGGAGCAGCGATAGTAAAGCTGCGGAGACGTATGAAGGGCAGTATAACCACCAACTTGGGTTGTGCTAAAAAAGAGTTTTAAAACGAATATACTAATTTTTGTATTGTTGATTATATATACTGTTAAATTAAGGATTTAATTTTAGTAATCCTCACGATTTCAATCCTTTAACCCACCTCAAATTGATACACGGCGTGGCCGAGCAACGCGACACATCCCGCTGCTTTTAGGGCGTACATTCTTTGATTTTTTTAATGTAAAAATCTGTAAATAAATGGTTTTAAGAAAATTTTAGCGCTAAATGACTATTAAATAGCATAAATGGTATATAAATTAAAAAATGACAACAATAAAAGATTGCCCGATCACCGAGGATCTGACCACAAAGTGCAGGAGGGAGATCGTTATCAGGCGTGGCAGCGAGAGGAAGGCGAGGTTGAGTTAATGGGATCAGAAACTACAGCGAGCTCATGCAGACAATGACTGGAGAAATTAAAATTATCAAAATAGAAGATTACGGTATTTTTCCGAAAGTTAGAAGCCAAAAAAGGATAGTTCGGCCTGTCCCTAGCCCTTGAACGACTGAAAGCTAGTGCGAAAAAATAAATTTTAGAGCTGAAAAACGGTGTAAAAGCTACCAAAAATCATGTTTCCAGTACTGTTTTGTAGTCATTTTATGAGTCTAAGATTTTAAAAATAGGCAATTACGACATTTCGGAAAAGCTAGGAACCAAAATCATCGTTGAATTCTTGTTGACAACCCTTGAAAATCGAACAATCATGTGAAACTTCATAAGCGATCGAGTAGCTTCCAAGTTATGCTTTCCTACTGTTTTTCAGTCCTAAACCTCAAAAGAGAGAAGAACAAAGCGTAAAGTGGAAACTAAACGGGTCCAGTCAAACTAGACGTCAAACGGGTACGGTAGATTGGGCACCGCGAAAATAAGAAAATTCCGGATGGTTCCTATGCACCCAGGGGGTAAAGAGTAGAAAACCGTACCAAATCCCGGATCGATACTTGCCGAAATTGCCGGGATCGAACTCGAGACTGTACGACCTAGTTCATCCGAGATGCTAGCTGCGGGGGGGTGCAATTTGGGTGTCCTTGGCCTGGCCTGAGCGACTCCCTATTCTCTATCCGAGTGACCGTAACCCTGCTTTGCCCCTGTTGACATGCCGTGCATTGCATTGCGTGAATGCCGTGGCCCACCTTTGCCAGCTGGGTGTCGGTAGCGGCGCGTATTAGAATTTTTAATTATGACAATTCAGAGTCTAAAATAGCTCTTCTGACCTGTAATGGTATGCTCCGTACCGGAAATTAGTTCTCACTGTGTATTATCACGTCGTTTAACGTACTCTGATTCTTATACAAAGGTAGGGGTAAGAAAACCGAGATCGTGCAAGGCGTGCACGATTGCCGATTACCTTTGTAGCTGTAAATAATTAAAAAACTGTCTCGACCGATTAAAATTTGATGCCTATACCATTTCATTCTTTCTCTAGTCAGGAAAATTGACATCCGTAAAAGGCTTTTCTGGATGTAAATAGTACGAGACTGGCCTCAAATCGGACGTTTATTGAGTCATCAGTATCGTTACGTACTCGTTACAAAGCCGTCTTGCTGCTTTTCATCGCGTAATTGCATTCGTCCTTTTCAGAAATCTGCTTACTTTCATTATTTTTATTATTTCTTTTGTTTGCGCGTAGTGGTCTTTATCATTCACTTTCAGGTAATGGAGTACTTTCAAAAAGTACGCAGCACCGTCACAAAAGCTGTAGAGCAGGTTTGAGATTTTTCCTATTCAATAAAGTGGTTTAGGTCGGCAATGTCGTCGCCGGAAATCCAGCGCTGCGACTTTTCGAGCCGGGCGACCTCGTCGGCTCCGCTGGCCCAGCTCATTTCTGGAAAATCTACAAGGGCAAGAAGCGGTCCAACGGCCAGAACGTGGCTGTATGGGTGTTTGAGCGGAAACAGGTAGGAAAACATAGTATTTGAGGTTATGGATTTATAGGTGGAAGGATTTTCGAAAGATGAGCAGACAAGAATTATCGAGCTGTTGAAACGGGGTGTTTCCCAGCTTACAAGAGTCCGGCATCCACGCGTTTTGGTTGTTGAACATCCGCTGGAGGAGGGCCGGTTGGTTTTTCTTCATTTCTTACTTGATCAAAAATTGGTCAAAATTATTTTTTTTCAGTGAATCCTTCATTTTCTGCACCGAACCAGTGATCGGCAGCCTTGCCAACGTCCTCGGCCACACCGACGGTCTGCCCCAGCCCGCCTCTATTCACCACAAAAACTACAAACTTCACGATATCGAAATTAGGATAGGGTTAAAGCAGGTGTGATCAAAATCACAGATTTTTGAAGTATTATTTTAGGTAGCAGAAGCGCTCTCCTTCCTCCACGTTGACGCCAAAATGATGCACCGGAATGTCAGCCCGGCGTCGATTATCCTAAACGAAAAAGGGGATTTCAAGCTCGCCGGATTTGATTTTGCGATGACGGCGTCGACGACTGATACGAATGGGGTTGGTGTTACTCTTACTGTTAGAGATTCTGAAAAAAGAAACTAGTTTTCTCTTTCTAATTTTAATTTTCGCTAACTCTCCAGATTTTTCGAAGCGATAGGTCGAATCGATAGAGTATCAAAAATCCACAGCCTAAATTAATGGAATATTAAAAAGTTATAATAAAACATATAGTGGTAATATCATTTTTCAGATATCCTGCGATTGCTCGGACATCGACAGCGGCGCGCCCTGGCAGCTGATCCCGACGATCGACTTTTTGGCTCCGGAATTGATAACGAGCCATAGGTTGGATAAATGACAATTTTAATTTAAATAAAACAAGAAGTTTTTAAGACAATTGTTATATGCGAAAAATAGCAAATAAGTTATTTTTTCAGGGGAGAACCCGCTTCCGACGTCTATTCCCTCGCCATCACCGCCTACTCGATATTTAACGAGGGAAAGGGCCCGATACAGGCTAGGAATCGATTGGAGATGCTGCGACAGGGGCTAGAAAAAGTATTTTATGCCGAAAAACTTACAAAATTTATTATAGCTCAAAAACGTACCCCCAGAATGGGCGCTAAGCATGCCGGAGACCTTTCGCGAGGATTTCAAGCTGTGCCTCAACAAATCGACGGCAATTCGACCGGATGCCGCGCAATTTCAAAAGGTTTGTACAGTTTAATAACGATTATAATATACTTAATAATGTTTATTGCAATATTTAATAGGCTAAACTCATTTCCAGATCCCCTTCTTCAAAGACCACCGCCTCGACACGGTGCAAACGCTCGAATCGTTCATGCAGCACGAGCAAATGGTCAAGATTGAGCTGCTGAAAAAGTTGCCGGATATGCTGATCCATTTTGAGAAGGTAAAAGAGGGGTTATAGCTTTTTATGGCTTTTTAGCGCCTACTCGTCCAAAAAATTCGGCCCTGCTTGACGGCCGAATTCTCGCACCCGGATTTGATCCCCTTCATCCTGCCCGCGCTTTTCTACATCATCGATCTGACGGACAAGGAGGAGTTTACGACGTTGGTGATGCCGGAATTGGCGCCGGTTTTCTCGATGGAACGCCCGTATCAGGTTTGTAATATTTCTGGCGAAACTAGAGCTAACACTATCTTGAAACATTTCTGGATTTAACTGCGAAAAATCGGATCCAAGGGCAAAATTGTTTTCAGAAATCGGTTTGTAAAATGGAATTTTAATCGGATAGAAAAATTTGAAAATAATGAAACTAAAATATTTAAAACTGGGATTTGGCAATTTCAGATCACGATCCTGCTCCTCGAAAAGCTTGACCTTTTCTTGA